TTGGTCATGATAGTTTTGGACTTGAACAGCTTGGTCATGATAGTTTTGGACTTGAACAGCTTGATCATGATAGTTTTGGACTTGAACAGCTTGGTCATGATAGTTTTTGTTTTCTTACACCTGCTCGATGTTACGAAATATCGGAAAAATATTCCTTCCCAATTTCCATTTCTACGCGTGTTAATTACATAATTACAGAGTTATTCGTGGCGTGGGTTGGCCCTGTGAGAGAACTTTGGATTTGTGATCTGGCGATCCGAGTTAAAGACAATATTTATCAAAACATGACATACATCGTCTTGAATTAAAACCGCAAAAGTCTTAAAAACCCTAAGCTATAAAGTTATACAAACGTATTTAAATATATCTAATATCTATTCAGCCATGAGGGCATTACAATGTCACGGTCAATCCCAATTTTCATTGTTAAAAATAACGCAAGAGTAGGCGGTTGATGGTGTTGACTAGCTGCCTTCCCTCTAGTCTATGGCCCGGCATGGACATGTGGTTAGGGCACTCGACTCGCAATCTGCGGGTTCGAATCCCCGTCATACCAAACATGCTCGCCCTTTCAGCCGTGCGGGCGTTATAATGTGACGGTCAATCCTACTATTCGTTGGTAAAAAAGTAGCCCAAGATTTGGCGGTGGGTGGTGATGACTAGCTGCCTTCCCTCAAGTCTTACATTGCTAAATTAGGGACGGCTAGCGCAGATAGTCCTCGAGTAGCTTTGCGCGAAATTAAAAAAACAAACAAACAAACCCTCTCGTCTATACTTTTAAACTAACGCAAATAATCGTCGAGTAGCTTTGCGTGAAATTCAACAATCAAACAAATATATCTAATATTTCGTAAAATGTTTTATCATGAGTAATAAAATAATAATAATAATTATTAATCTTAACATTCTTCAAAAGATGACGCCACCAGTCCACCAGTCTATTAGATTTATGTTCCCAAATGTTTTGTATAGGATGCATTTGAAACTTGTTGAGGTAACTGTAACTCGATGATAATAAACAAAACCTAATCCTGAACATGCCAGTTAAGCTTAGCTGCTCCTGAAATATGAAACCTGAGACAGATAGTATATTTAATATTAAAATAAACAAAACCTAATCCTGAACATGCCAGTTAAGCTTAGCTACTCCTGAAATATGAGACCTGAGACAGATATATATTTAATATTAAAATAAACAAAACCTAATCCTGAACATGCCAGTTAAGCTTAGCTACTCCTGAAATATGAAACCTGAGACAGATGTATATTTAATATTAAAATAAACAAAACCTAATCCTGAACATGCCAGTTAAGCTTAGCTACTCCTGAAATATGAGACCTGAGACAGATATATATTTAATATTAAAATAAACAAAATGCCCAGACGAATCACTGTGTTTTGAATTTGTGACTAACATCCAAACAAAATACGTCACAGTGTACTTTTTTTTCTGTTGTTGCGGACAAATTAATGATAATAAACCACAAAAAATGTAATAAAAGTTTATGCGATGTCCTTTTTCTCTTTTCGATTGTTTAACTTAACTGTTTTCTGTTTTGAATAATATCCAATATTCTATAGTATATGTGTATTAGCGTTATAATACAAGAGGTTATATATATATATATATACGATTGTACTTTGGATATAATAATAAAAAACATAAAATATACAGAAATCATTATACTCCAAAAATTTTGTGTATTCTACCATATTGGCTACATTATGATTAAAATAGACTGTCAAAGTAGTCTTAGCTTTGATAGTATTATTACATTGATAAACATTACTGTTAGAACTTGTTTGTTTGTTTCATAATTTCGCGCAAAGTTAAACAAGGGTTATTTTCTCAAAACCGTCATTGATTTTGAACTTATTGAAAAGAGAAAATTAACCCTTGAGCTACTCTAGTCTGACCGAATGTTGGGACTTGGTTGTCTCTATTATAACATATCCTCCAGTGGCACAGTGGTAAGTCTGAAGGCTTATAACGCTAAAAAGCGACTTTTGATACCATTGATGGGCACAGTACAGATAAATCATTGAGTAGCTTTGAGTTTAGCTACAATCAAGCTGTCACATTTTATAACGTACTCATGGCGCTAATGTACGGATAGCGTTTTTACGGCAAAGGATCAGGATGCTAAGTTTGGTCTTGTCAGCTCTATAACTGTGGGAGGAGTTCACGGACAAACAAACAAACACACAACGTGAGTTAATATAGAGATGTAGTGAAGTTTGTTTAGAGATTAAACTAGTCAATAGGTGGCAGCATACTACAGTTTTAAACGCATTCCGTAATGAGATACTTGGCACATTCAGAGTTGTAACAGCTTTCACAAAACAGCCTTTAATTTGAGCTAGTGTATGAACGCTTTGTTCAAAAATATATTTTTTTAAAGGCAGCGGCTTCGAATGTTCGAGAGAAAGTATTTTGTGTCATTTAGTTGAATTCATTTTGGACAAAACGACCGTTGCAGACGTAAAAGGAAAATATCCTACATTTATTAAAATGTTATTCATATCTGTTCCCCAAGAGTTGTAAAACGGAGAATGAAATACTGCCAATAGACAAGTTACAAGTTTCTCTTTTAATTTCTTACCCGTTTATGGGTGCCAACATCTTGAATTCTGTTGAAGTAGTGGTAAAGGTGTTTTGTTGTTGTTGTTGTTTTCTGCATCACAAACGATGGAACAGCTATCAAATGTTAAGTTGGCAGTTTGTCATTCTTACTTACAACATATACAGAGCCTCTACAGCCGCTACGACTCTAAATTCTCCTATTATTACAAAAGCAGGTGTTAAAGTTTATATCAAGATTCGATCATACGAGATGAGGGAAAACATTGCCACAAAATAAATAGTAAAAAAAGCGGCTAAATGAGAAAGTTTTCCAGATAGGTTGTGAGCCTTTCATGTACGACAAATGTCTATTGACATGTTTTCATGTACGACAAATCGTTCTTAATGTTTTAACAAGCTGAAAGTAAAAGTCAAGGTAACGATAAAAGATCTTTATTTCAATGAACTATTTTATCATAAATGTTTTGTTTTTAGTGTATAACGTCAGACTTATAGATCTATGTAACTATTAAAGATGTATGTGCTATCAGTTTATTTTTATTTGTTGTTAAAGTATAATGGACTATCTGCGCTCTGCTTGCCTTGGGTATCGAAACCTGATTTTAGGGGAGGACGGTGTACATTGATCGGTGGAGTGCCCGCTTGACGTTGTGATGCAATCATGCATGAGTACAAATAAAGTACAAAACAGCAGCTAACTTATTTTTGTAATGTTTTTAATGTATTTTTCCAATCGTCTCACCAATGCTACAGCTACATTTACTAGAAACGTCGCAATAAATAGAATGCGTTAGTGTATATGTATATTTGACTTGAAATAACATCCTTCACTTATCATTTGGAGTTTCAACTGATTGATATACAATAATTCCCCTTAGCTCTTTTTCTTCACATCCATGTTATCGTTTGGATTACGTAAAAGACAAAACTGATAAAAGTCAAGCCAATGCCCGAAATTTGGATTAAAATGAACACTTGCTATACTCAAAAAATATACAAGAGATGAAAGTTGTAAAATACGTTTTTTTATTGTCTTAAATCATCGAGTACTAACGTAATTTATCAACAAAAGACAAATTAGTTCAGAGGAGAAAATTCAAGTAATTATAAAAGCTTGCATAATAAACCACCGTTTATTTAAAAAACATTTGAATGATTCTTAGTTACTGTAATTATAATTAACTAAATTATATAATCAATTGCTTCAATTTATTAAATGCTCATTAATTCTTTATTTTATTTAAACATTGAAGCCATTGTCAAGGTTTAAAATCTCAGAGATTTTCTTTCGACGCTGTCTCTTATTTACCTTATATCATAAACTGACCTTTCACTAGGCCTTAACGTAGTTCACAAATTTGAAACATCAATTGTTCAATAACTCTTGAGCCTGGATTGTTGAATGCTAAGTTAACATATTTTGATAACTATGCTGGATGCTCTAAAACCTCCAGAACTAACTTAATCTGCCCGAATTGTTTTATACAATGGCGAGGAAATTAGTTTCCTAAGCTTTCAAAGATTTTTCATATCTATGGTAAAATACTGAAAATCTAACACTAAAAAAGATATGTTAAATAATCATTAAACTTGATTATTATAAAAATACAAATTTATACGAAAATAGATTTATCGTATTAACACCTATAAAGACCGTGAGCATTATACTTTAGTAATAAGACTGCATATTCGTGTAGGATACAACTATTATTACATATTAGATTCTACAAAAAGAGTTCTTATAATTATTAATATCACCAAACTGATACATTCACTCGACCTCAGACTAAACACACATACTTAAGCTAATAACTGGAATTTGTGAGACTGCATTTCAGGCCAATGTTGAAATGCTATATAAATATCACTAATTACAACGAATACAATTATCACGAAGTATTAACTTTTTCTAAAACAATCGTTAGTGTATACAGATGACTTTAGTGTCACACACTCTGATATTTATGTATATATATATTTTATAAAAACAGTTTATTAAACAATGTTTTGAGCATAATTATTTTCCAAATGAATTAACTCAGAAATAAAAGGCCAACATTGCCGAATGTAAGCTAATAAAATCCTCTTTTAAATTTGGTTCTTTATGCTTGCAAAGAAATTATTTTTAGTGTAGCCCAAAGCGAAACCTTTTCAGGAGAAATACGCCTGGCATCACAACTTTGTAAGATACCTGTACATGTGCCTAGAATCAAATATTTTTGGAACAACACTGCATCTAATATAATTCTCTTCAACTTTGAGAAGATGTAAGACAATTATCTGATACCACTTTTTCCAGTAAACTTTTAAAAAATTTTAGTAAAAATACAAATGAATTACAAAAGTAATACAAGTCTTTTTTTGTCATTTTATTTTAGGACAGTTAGTTCTTTTCAAGCTTAAGTTTTCGTTTACTTTTTTTTTTTTTGAAAACGAGCCAAAATACCAAGGATTTAACTCAGCAGCTGACTCCACATTTCCGGTAAGTTTATTTTCTTTCCATCAAACATTATAATTTTTTTTATATGCGTTGTTGTCATTGCCAACTTTCAAGGTCCTGCAGTATATATATTTTCTTCAAATATGCTAAAGAACATGTACAACTGAACAATTCGACATTCAGAAATAACAACAAACAAATTTGGAACAGCATGTTTAACCCAAACCTGTAGACATCTGAACATGTTTAATTCAAACCTGTAGATATCTGAACATGTTGAACCCAAACCTGTAGATATCTGAACATGTATAATTCAAACCTATAGATATCTGAACATGTTAAACCCAAACCTGTAGATATCTGAACACGTTAAACCCAAACCTGTAGATATTTGAACAGGATTAATTCAAATCTGTAGATATCTGAATAGGTTGAACCAAAACCTGTAGATATCTGAACATGTTGAACCCAAACCTGTAGATATCTGAACATGTTGAACCCAAACCTGTAGATATCTGAACATGTTTAATTCAAACCTATAGATATCTGAACATGTTTAATTCAAATCTGTAGATATCTGAACATGTTTAATTCAAATCTGTAGATATCTGAATAGGTTAAACCCAAACCTGTAGATATCTGAACATGTTGAACCCAAACCTATAGATATCTGAACATGTTGAACCCAAACCTGTAGATATCTGAACATGTTAAACCCAAACCTGTAGATATCTGAACATGTTGAACCCAAACCTGTAGATATCTGAACATGTTTAATTCAAACCTATAGATATCTGAACATGTTTAATTCAAATCTGTAGATATCTGAACATGTATAATTCAAACCTATAGATATCTGAACATGTTTAATTCAAATCTGTAGATATCTGAATAGGTTAAACCCAAACCTGTAGATATCTGAACATGTTAAACCCAAACCTGTAGATATCTGAACACGTTAAACCCAAACCTGTAGATATCTGAACACGTTAAACCCAAATCTATAGATATCTGAACACGTTGAACATGCACGTTAAACTCAAACCTGTAGATATCTGAACATGTTGAACCCAAACCTATAGATATCTGAACATGTTCAATTCAAACCTGTACATATCTGAACACGTTAAACCCAAACCTGTAGATATCTGAACATGTTGAACCCAAACCTATAGATATCTGAACATGTTCAATTCAAACCTGTACATATCTGAACACGTTTAACCCAAATCTATAGATATCTGAACACGTTAAAGCCAAACCTGCAGATATCTGAACACGATAAACCCAAACCTGTAGATATCTGAACACGTTGAATATGCACGTTAAGCTTACTTCTATTGATAATTCAATATCCTGTTGGGACGAGACTTTAAATGGTAGTGTAATTCGATCCGAAGGTAAATCATATATTTGTTAAACAAAGTATATTTTGGAAAATTACATTCTATCAACCAGCTACCGCTGTTAATTTAAGATAAATCCAGTTTTACAAAAGAAAAATATATCTATATGTTATGATTGGACATTTCAATATCTAAAAAATTAACTCCAGTGCAGTGGTGTATACATCGCCCCCTCTTTGTTGTTTTTTTTAAACCTCCACCGTTACATTCGAAATACACTATTGTTCCTTTGTAAAGGATGTAATGCTGTTATCTCATTTAATTTAAAAACAGAGTATTTTATTCAAACTTTTTTAAACTTTTACGTATTTATTGAACCGAACTTGAATGATAAAAAATATAGTAATGTATTAATAGGTTTAATAAGCTAACCGTTATGAACCTATGTTAGCAATATTTCACCATTCTACATATTAAGATAACTTGGTTTTTATTCGAATACCTGCCACTACATCAAAGCTTTATAACCCAACAGACACGTAACAAGAAATAAAAGTAATAAAAGTTAAATGCCTAAAAAAACAGGATGTATAGAATATGTCTTTACACTACACTATGCTATCAATCACTCCCATTTTCAGGATGATTTCTTGACCTGGATGAAAAAATAAAAACAAATACAGAACATATATGTTCCATGTCAGTACTTACTCTAAATCTCTAAACATGAATTTCTTCTGTTTTGAGATCGTGTAATAAAAAAACAAACAAGGAAAACTTATCTTGTAGCATTATATGAAATGATACAATTTGTCTTATGGAGTGTATAATATTCTTACGGTCTATAAAATATTATATATTCAATAAACACAGACTTCGTTTTCAAAAGCCCCATCTTTTCGTACAACAACGCTGGAACTTCCGAATGTTTTATTTATTTTTTCACTTCTTCCAAGCGTCACTATCCGGAACTATCCGTTTTCCGTTAGTGATGAAGATTTTCATTTTATAACTTCTGGCTGAAATAAGGGAAATCTTCACGATATTCTGTAAGACAAATATAATTGTTGGTTGGGAATTTCTCTATTATCCACTCAAATGTGTAATTTCAGTGAAGAAAAGAAATAAATCGTGAGTGACTATATATCAAACCCTACAAAGTTAATTATTCTTATTTGTTTTTTTAAAAGGATGGACCACAGTAGTACACTTTGTGTATGCAACAACGAAGAAATTTATGCTTACATAAAATGAGTGTTAACAATTAATACGCTAATGTATAAGCCCTGAAAAAACGTTATCTAATATTTTACAGATATAAAGTGAAATAACTCTCAGATATGTCAGTACCTTTTAACACGAATCGGACTAGGGAGATCCAGGCTTCCTAACCCCCTCCAAATGTTTTTGGGCCAATTTTGAAAATTTGATATAATTTTTAGCTTTTGTCGATATCTTGTTGTATTCATACAGTAAAGTTTCAATGCCAAGTAAATTGACTTCAACAAAGTCGTGTCAATGTAAGTTTTAAGAGTCATTTTTCAATTGTAAAATCTTTGGAACTAACCTCAGAATGTCAACCTTATTTATGAACTTTTCGTCCGGCAAGAAACAATTTGAATAAGAACTGTATGTTGAACTCAACAATGTGGAACATTTTCTTTATAATGAATCATACGTTTAGAAACAAGTATTTAATTGATATAATGTGTCATCTGTTGTACGTTTTTCTGCTCATGTCAGGGTTAATTGTTGCACATTATGTAAAGTTTTACACCATTATATATGATGCAAAAAATTGCATTCAATACATACATTGCAGGATTAGCCTCAAAATTTATTTTGCAGAGTTTTTACAAGCCTAAACGAAACTATTGTCTGTAGCACCGACACAACATTACTGGTGACTCGAAACATTCTTTATTCTTCTAGCCCTTTGAGAATCAAGTCAACAAATGGCAATTTTAAGGAAATCAAGCATTCATGTGCAAGTATCGCTTACAGTAGACAGTTTTTTACAATTACTATTCTCATTTCATGTATGTTTTTAAAGTTATTTATTTTATTTTCATTTGCAAACAGGCCCAGCATGGCCAGGTGGTTAGGGCGCTCGACTTGCAATCTGTGGGTCGCGAGTTCGAATCCCCGTGACATCAAACATGCTCGCCCTTTCAGCCGTGGGGGCGTTATAACGTGACAGTCAATCCCACTATTCGTTGGTAAAAGAGTAGCCCAAGAGTTGGCGCTCGCCCTTTCAGCCGTGGGGGCGTTCTAATGTTACGGTCAATCCCACTATTCGTTGGTAAAAAG